TGTGTGTGTGTGTGTGTGTGTGTGTGTGTGTGTGTGTGTGTGTGTGTAAAATCTCAAACCTCAAAACAAATAAATGGCTGGGGAGACTCAGAGGCGAAGGGTAGTAAATGACAAAATATTTCATCCTAGTTCCATCATGTTGGATTTTCCCCTCCTTGAGCTTTGGTCTGCAGATTATTACACATGCAAAGGAAGGACGTCTGAGAAAACTAAAAGTGACCAGGTATAGGACTCACTACCTAACTGAAAAACAAATCAGTAACAAGCTGTCGGGAAATTATAAACCCAGGGGTATTAATTTATGTAGCATTTGTCTGGGGATGCTTTTTCTACAAATACCACCATAATCCCAGATAATCCCAGAAGATATTTAGTAGCAAGATTTAAAAAGTAATCTTGACGTGTCCTTTGGGTTAATGTCCTTCATTTGCACAAGTAGTCTCCATTCTCTGTCCAGAGAGGCGCACCAAGCTCTCTCCGTAACTACTGGGTATTGGTGAGAATGCCAGGAGTGGCAGTGAGAGGGAGGGAGGGTATAAAAGGGGAAGGCAGGTGGGATGTGAATGGGGCAACACTTAAGGCCTGAAAAGCAGGACTTTTCAGCTGGGTCTCCTGGTGTAGTACAGAGCTGGAGAAGAGAAACTGCCCCAGAAGCTCTGGCAGTTTGGCCCATGTGTGCCCTGATGTACATTATCCTAGGCCGAGCTGTATCTGTGCTCTGAAATGCTTCCCTTGCTTGAAATATTCTCTTCTGTAATCTTAGGTGTGTTTTCTTGGATGAATTTAAGGGGAGCTTCCAAAGCCAGGAGAGCAAGAGAGCAGCAAGTTCCCTGAGAAGGGAGGGCAGAAAGAGTCCCAGTGGAGAGGAAAGACTGCAGGTGGAGGTGAGTCCTAGAGTTGAGGGCTTTGGAAGAAAGGAGTTGGAGGCAGCTGGGACTGATGATGCCATACAAACCCTCCTTTCTCTTTATACTTCCCATCTTTGTCTTTCTTAATTTTATTGAACACTCAACATTCAACCCATTGACTTTACTTTTTATAGCTGGCAAAGGCCTTTACAATCCTCCTCCAGGGGCCAAGAGAAACCACTGGGCCAGTGTACTCTGTGTCTCTCCCTCACATTTAATGAAATGGTCCAGGGCAACACCCCGCCTCCTGCCCAGAACAGGCCCCAAGCCCCAGAGCCGGGGTATCTCCCCTGCTTCTCAGCTTCTCCTCCTCCAGCCCCTGACCTGGGATCTTGGTGGCTCCTCTTTGCCTTTCTTCAGTCCCCTTCCCTTTATAGCCAGGCTTCAGGGTGTGGTGCATGGCCAGTGGCTGCTTACACTGCAAAGCTACTCCTGGGCAGCTTGAGGCAATCTCAGGCTACTTGCCAGGTAAAGGAGAGGAATTTCCAAGCATGCAGCTGCCTTCGGGAATCATCTAGGGGAGCTATTTATTGTGAGGGACAGGAGGCTCCACAGAGAACCTATTGCCCACCTTTATCTGTGCTCACTTTTCATGCATTCAGATGCAGAGGCTAAACCACAAAACCCAATACAACATAAGATCAGAAAGTGGGCATATCAGCATTTCTGCATGTATTACATACAACGTTCCTTTTACCTTGACCAGTTGAGAGCAAATCTGCCCTATCTGAGGGCACAGGAATGGCATAGGCAGTATGTCTCTTATGTGGCATTTCAGCTTTATAAAGCTTCTCAAAGAGGTGAAGCAGGATATTTTGGTGATAACTTGCTAAAGGAACACATGACTACAATAAAGGCTGATGATCTAGACTCAGGAATTCCATCCCTTCTTATTCCTACTTGGTTGACCATTTGGAGACGCTCTCAGGATCTCCCTTTGCTTCTCCATAAACGGTAAAGGAAACCAACAGTTACTGAGTAACCAGTTCCATGTACGGCGCTAAACACTTCATATAGGTATATCTGTGTAATTTAATCCTTGCAACCATTCTGTGAGATAGGCGCCTGTGATCCC